ACGGGGAAGGAGCTGGTGGTCCACGCACGTGACCCAGGCCGGCCTGCAGCTGCGCCTTAACCGCTCTTCAGCAATCTCTGCCTACAGAATGCTAAACAGCTTCCGTGATGGCCCGACCAGTCACGCGATGGTGCTGCTCAATCCACACAGTAACAGGACTGGGGGCAGGGGGCCCGCAGCTCCTGAGCTCTGACCGAAGGGTGACCCAGGCATGTGGCAGGGCACCTGGTGCTGGGGGAGCAGGCCGGGGACCATGCTGGCCAGGCCCAGGGCTCTGGCTGTTTGAAGCCAGCCCAGGGGGACGGGCAGGGTACCGGCACACGGGGCTGTGATCCACGGACAGTGCAGCCATTGCCTTCTGGGGCAATGAGGAGCGGGTGGCAGCTATGATCAGCCTGGCCAGAGGTTTGGAGAGCCCTTTCGTCCCGGTGTGTACGAACAGACATGTGACCCTGTGTGAAGAAAACCTTAACCGTGACATCCGACAGACTCTCATTTGAGGACTCCTGGACTTCATTTTAATGGGATTATTACCGACAAAATTAGACATTCCCACAGCAAATACCCAACATCTCCCAAAGAGGGAGAGATGACCCGGGGACAGCAAACACTACACTACCAAGTCCTGTGTGTGACCTGTGTACCTGTGTGTGTCAGGGAGTTGTAACACATGGCTGACACGTCCAGGAAATTCCTATGTGTCTGCACACATACACACACATATGCTTCCAACCATGAAAGTTTTATGTGTTTATGTATATATGTGTGCACATATAACATACATATAATGCATTTGCTTACATGTTTCTGTATCAGATACCTATGTTTCAGGGTGAGGGGGATAATCACAGATAAAGGGAACTTAAAGGAGTTGAATGAGGAGACTGGCCTCCAGGCCCTGCAGAAAGAACCCAGAGAGTGCTTTGGGGATGCGGAGGCCGGGACTCTGTTGTGTCTTTGCAATCTGAGATACCAGGGGTGGCAGAATTCCCCCAGCAGCTGGGCGTTAGAGCAGGGTGGATGTTTAAAGACCCCTGGACCGAAGGTCAGGTACTGACTCACCAACGTGCACAGCGTGGCTCTTCCTCACTGCAGTCCACGGCTGGGGCTGCATATGCGAACCACATCCGGCCATCAACCCTCGCGGCCTTCTAGGTCCCTCGCCTTGGGGATGCAGCATGGCTGCTGTCCTGAGCACATCCTCTGCTCCCGTTGGCTTGCTTACGTTATCAAGAGCCTAGAGGGGGGCTTGCTGAAGAGCAGAATGTGCCGTGCCTACACACAGCGCCTCAGTGCAAGCGATTAACCACTGGAACCTCCTGTGTGCTGCTTGCACCCAACCCCCAAGTCTATCAGTGAGGCTTAGAGAAAGCGTTGTTCCCACTTTACAAATGAGTCAACGGAGGCCTGGGGAAATGAACAAAGGTCTCTCAGGAGCCTAACCTTAAGGGAAGGCAAGCTTTCTGACACTATGCAGTGTTTCTCCGAGCATGTTCCTTGGACTACCAGCCCAGCAGCCTTGGGAACTTACTGGAAGAGAAGAAATGCAAGCACCTGTTAGAAACGCAAGCACCTGCTATTAGTAGTCACTGTGGGCCTGGTGAATGAGCGGCACTGGTGGAGTTACAGGAGACTCTGGGACCAGTGCTAGACATGGGTGAGGCGTGGATAAGGAGACAGGCCTGCCGTCCTGAGCACCCTCACTGTAACGTTAACCTCAAATAGGGACGGGGAGAGCAGCTGTGGCCGCTCCCCGATACCACTTCTGCAGAGCTGAGCGCACCCACCCTGGTGGGTGTGGGGAATGAACCACACAGAGCTTCGTGTCGGGCTCCCGACACTGCTCCTTCCAACAGGCTGATTGCCAGAAGGGTTTGCTGGGCGTGAGACGTGCCGTCAATGGTAAGGTGCCGTCAATGGTGCCATCAGTCAAGTCACCACAAGTGGCAAAGGGCTTTAGGGAACGAGGCCCACGCACCGCTTCTACCCGTGGCCAGGTGCATGCTGGGATGGAGGCAACGGGCCTACCTGTGGTTTTTCTAGGCTGCATGCCTTTCAGGCGTCCAGGTAAGAGCACGGCCTGGAAGAGGATCGCTCGCTGCCTGCCAGGCCCCGTGAAGGACCCCGAGGTGCGTCTGCAAGAACAAAGGCAGAACAAGAAGGCGCCAGCCTTCCCTAGCCAGGTGGCCACGCGCCTGACCCGCAGATGTTCCAAGATGACTAAAACCAACAGGCCCAGCCCACAGCCTGTTCTCGAAACTTCTCGAACCAGCACCGAAACTCACCCCACCCATTCCAGTGGGCAGGATAAAAAATGCAGGGAGAACGTTCAGTGCCCGGACAAGCCGGCGTGTTGTCTTCTTTTTTTTTTTCTAGTAGTGCTAAGCGAGGTTTAAACAAACAAGCACAGACACCTACAAGAGGAGGGGGCCGGGAGCAGCACCAGGTGTGTGAACCCCAAGACGGCAGCCCCAGGCTCCCCAGGAACTTTCTTGGGGTGCTCAGTAGAAAGCTGGATTATTCGCTGCTTGGGCAAATTGGGCCAATTTTTTTTTAAGCAATCAAACATCGTTTGTGACCTACCTTAAGAACGGTATTTACGCAGCATCGATGTAGGGTGCCACCCTCTAGCGACCCAGCCCAAGCTGGTTTCCTACTGTAGGAAGACAGCGCAAGTCTTCTCTTTCCAACACCGGGGTGGTAGAGCCGGATTCAAATAAAATCAACCACTGCTTAGTCACCTAAGTTTTCTATTCTTCCTCTTTTCTGCTTCTTTAGGAGATCGTTTCCAAATGACAGCAACCATTTTTTTTCTTACCAAATCTTTCGCAACAATGCTTTCTAAAAAGAGAATTTTAAATAAAAAATAGAAATCATGAGTCATCTTTCTTATCCACCCCCCCCCCCCCACCAACCTCAAACTAATCCACTCTATAAGGGCAAGCTAGTAAAGGTAGCTAGGACTTAAAAAAAAAAATCATTCCTAACAGATTAGCTCATTCAAAGCTAAGTACCAATTACAGCTCTCTCAGAGAGCCAGTCACTGAACTGTCATGGGCTTCATGTTGAGATCCTAGCCATTCTTTTCTCGTCACCCACTAACCGAGTTCCCTGTGATTCTGTATGGCTTGCAGAGTTTGACGAGGTACAGCAAAGACTCTGCGAGCACTTTCCTGCAGCACTGTGGAGGAGGGGGTGGGAGAGGCACGGAGCAGACAGAATCGTGGCATTCCCAGCTCCAGGCGCAAACAAGGCTCAAGTTGGCCTCGATCTTCCTGTTCCACCCTAGCCATTGTCCACGAGCTATGCCAAATCAGCTTGAGCAGTTCACCTGGCACCCGCACCGTGATAAACCCACCTCCAACCGTAACCTCTCAGCACTGTCAACACTTTCTGATGGCTCCAGTTCATTAGCTGTTTACAATCAAACGCTGAACCTTAGAAAGAAACCAGGAGAATCCACCCAACCCGCCGGCACCAAGCCAAAGCTCAGAGGCTCGGGGTTGAACTCCGCCTGCCGTGGGGACTGCCGCGCTCATGGCTTCAAATTCCACCACCTGGCCAGCTCAAAGGCACAAAAACCACCTGCAAAGGTGTGCAGACACAGCCTCGGGAGCAAAGGCAGCCCGATCAGGTTCTGCTGGCTGCCTTCCCTTTCCCACCAGCTGTCCGGCTTTTCCAAGGAGCAAACACTCGACAAAGTGGAGATGTGCTCCGCTCCGCAAGTCACCTGCACCTAGTTTTCTAGCAGGGTTCCCTCCACACTTCCAGAGTTCAGCGCCTCCTCTGGGGGTGGCACACGCTGCAGCCATGACAGCAGAACAGCGCACGGCCCAGGAGCGCAAACAAACCCGTCTCAGGCTAGCTGCAAGCTCCAGGACAGAGAGGGCTGCTGGCCACTGTCACTTGTCGGCCTGGCGTCCAGGGGGTGGCTGAGCGTGCTTCTCAGCTTCTGTTTCCCTCAATGACTTTAAAGGGCTACGAAAAAGTGGGCAACCCGGCCCTGCTGAGCTCTTTCCTGACTGTAGCTGTCAACCCCACAGGACACACAGCCCCACACTGTCCTCCATCCTTTCCCCAAGGGCTGGGCTGGATTGTTAACCGACTGCAATCTCAGGGCTACCAATGCTCTCCCCTAGAGAAAGGTCTGGAACTTCTGCAAACAGCCTCAGGAGGGCTCCTAATTCCATGGTGAGGCTGAAGTCTGTTCCCAGCATCCTAAGGCTAAAGCCAAATAAATGATTAGAAGGAAACAATGAAGTTAGATGAAAACAAAACAGACAAAATCCTGCAAATGAAAACAGAAAACCACACCAACCAACCGGACAAACAAGGAAATAAAACAACAGTAGCGACAAACAGCTTAAGCTCGTAACATCTCCTAGAAAACCTGACCCCACACCTCCGGTCCTCACACGCATCCTGCCCCCCAGCCCCCTCCCGAAAGCCTCGAAAAACTGGGGGCGGGGTGAGCTTTATATATGAAAATGAACAAAAAAACCACTGCAAATTCTAGCTGTCCTTAGTGTGAACGTGACCTTCCACCGCGAAAGTCGCATTTTTCTGGATCAGTCCCCGGTCCCCGGTGGGAGCATCATCTTTAATGGCTTAACAAAAAAAAAAAAAAGGAGCATGTGAAAATCTTTGAGTAGAGAAAACAAGCACCTGTGGATTCTAAAATGACTCACGCAAGTAACGAGCTGAGAGCCACGGACTTCCACTGAAGAAGTTTAAAATCATCCATACCCACACGTGTGGCCTACAAGGTAAGAGAATGCAGAGGCAACTTGTAGAAGAGAGGTGCATGCTGTGTGTGTTGGGGTCCAGGGGCCAGCCAGTCAGAACGCACACCTGAGGGCTGTGTGTGAGACGCGCCCGAGCGTAAGGCACAGGGCCTGCCAGAGCAGACCGCGCCCGCCTCCCCGACCACGGGGAACGCGCCGAGGACGCGGCTCCCACCCCCACTCAACACGCCAAATAATCACTTCTTACCGCCCGGCCACGGTCCAGGGTGAGTTTATTAATGGAGAACCCCCACCCCCACACCCCACACGATGCCAGACACCACAATTCTCTTTTGTCACAGCATACAAAATAAATCAACAATCATACTAAAACATACCCAATACCCCTTAAGTTAGCGGATTTAACATTAAATCTCGAAGCAGTATTGTGTTACACTTTGATTCAAATCCTATTTACAAATTGAATTGCACTTGTTTCTGTGAGGGCAGTAGGGCATTTTCCTTTATTACGGTCTGATATCCAAATATATAACTCTTAAAGCTTTCTTGAAGAAGGTTCGCTCCCTTCAGCACGTAACCCACTGAGTTTCTGTGCTGGTTCCTCCCCTGTGCTTTTCTGCTCTACTTTGTTACGCAAATGGCACATGCACACACCGCTGGAGCAGGCAGGACATGGCACCACGACGGGTGTGTTCATGAAGAGCCGACGTGGAAGGAATGGAAGGGAAGCAGTCGAGTCCTTTGGTTCATCTCTGCAAACACACATCAGCCAAGCTAACTCGGCATCGCGGATGAATTCACCTTTCTTTTTGGTTAAGAACGGTTGGTCCGGGCGGTGAGTACAGGCGGCGCGCCCGTCCAGGCGGTGAGTACAGGCGGCGCGCCGGTCGCAGTGCTCGGCCGGGCCGGGCGCAGCTCGTGTGATGTGACACGGGATACAGTAAGGCACGAGTGGATGGTACAAATAAGACAAACGCTGCGAGACGGGTCTGGTTTTCTGCACAAATACTAAAATATGTACCGTCTTCGAGATAAAATTAACAAAAGGAAATACATATTTTTGTTACAAAATACCTATACAAAATTTTAAAATTTACACCATCTGAGCTGCCAAAAAGTTAAAAAAGTGTCAGCCCCCAACATCCAACGCTTTAGCAACAGTAGCTCCAAGAGAACTGCGTTCAAACTCTCCTGGCCCTGCGTGGCGGGGACACAGAGCCCCCTTCCTGCTCTCCCTCACCCCGGGACCAACCCAGAAAGCCGCACGGGCAGTAGTGTATTCTACGCATTACACACAACCGGAATCCAAGCAACGGAAGCCCCCGGCCGGGAGCACACCGCAGGATGGCTGGTTGAGGAGTGAGTAAGGCACTGGGGGGGGGGGGGGGGGGGGCCTTCGAATGGACACGGGGTGGTGGGAGTGGGGGGGAGGGGGGCTGGCAAAGGCCACGGCAGCAGAGGCGCCTCCGGAGTGCGTGGGCCTCCCCACAGCAGGGGAGGACACGGAGCTGAGGCTGAGGAGGAGCTCACTGGTGCAGCGGCCCCTGGGCCGCGGCGGGGAACTACACAGACGTGGTGGTCATGCGGTCGGCGGCGTGGTTGAGCTGGTTTTTGTTTGAATCCAGTCCCCCCGCGGCGTGCGCCTCGTTCCGCAGGCTCTCGGCCGCCCTCTTCAGGTGTCGCAGCTCTCCGGGGTGCGGCGTGGCCCGTCTCTGCAGCGTCCTCTGAAATCACATGGAGAGGCGGTGCGTAGGCGCAGCCGGGACAGACTCACCGGGTTCGCATCCCCGTGCAAGGCTTAAAACCCTACCGAGTATGAGGGGGCAATGGACAGCGCCCCAGAGCGGCCTGCGGGGACCGCGCACGGCCCTGGGGGAGGGGACAAGGGTCAGCGAACCCGTCCCACCAAGATAAACCAAAACCTTGTAAAATAGGAGATGAATTCATATCCCGGGAAATAAACCTCCCTAAACAAAATTACACTTTTAAGCTATACTCATCAGGTACACAGAGGAAAAACAAAGGATTAAATGAAAATCCCAAATCAAATCTAATATTCTATCCAGAAGGGTCTGACTTCCTTCAACGCGCGGCCCGGAGCAGGCGTGGGCCATTTGTAAGCTCCTCTGCTGTTTAACAGGCTACATGCTCTGGAGCTCGTGGAACAGCAGCGTCTTCCCGACGCCCTGGCCCGAGCTCAGGAGGAGCCGCACCAGGTTAACACCCCACCCCACCGGGGAGCACGACAGAGGCCACGAGGCCTCGCTGTGGCGAGCACTAGACATGGGGTCACGCTGCTTCCCTAACTCCCACCCTCACTCCTCCGGTGCCATCTTCGGGCATCGGCTTGGTCGGCCCTTCCCGAGGGCTGCGGAGCTCTGCTCTGCTCTGCTCTGCTCAGCAGGTTCACTGGTGCAAGGGGGGGTAGGGGAGGCAGTGTCAGGTTCTGGGACATTTTCAAGGCTGATGAAAGAAAGGGTGAGCGCTTCTCTGAAATCTAGTCCTGATTTTTTTTTTTTGTCAGACCTGGGGTTTGAACTCTGTGCCTGGCACTATGCCTGAGCCTCTTTGTGCTCAAGACTAGAGCTGTACCACTTGAGCCACAGCACCACTTCTGGCTTTATTTTTTTTAAGTACATTATTGAAGATAAGAGTCTCACGGGAACTTTCTAGCCCAGGCTGGCTTTGAACCATGATCCTCAGATCTCAGCATCCTGAGAAGCTAGGATTACAGGCGTGAGCCACCAGTGCCTGACTTCCTGATTTCTGAACGAGACTCAGGGTTGTCCTGCTAAGATTGCACTAGACTACCTGAAGGTTATGTGGCCTGTGCGAGGGTCCCAGGGCCCCAGCCATAAGGAGGGGGAAGGGAAGAGATTTCATTCAAGGGGGACGGGGGCAGGGGGGAGATTTCTCAATCTTAAGGACGCAGAAAGGGGCAAGTGAGAAAACCATCACAGGGAAATAGAGGCACCATGGACTATTCTCATGACAAAAAAGAAAAAAGGATCTTAGAATTTCATCTGCCTTACATTTTATGACTTAGCATTCCTAAGATCCAAGACTCGTTTTCTAAAATACATATATTCCTAGGTGTGGAAGGGCGACACAGCAAGTGTGCCGCCAGGGTGAACACACGGAAACTCCGCTTCCAGCCCCAGAGGGCCAAGGAGCCCCGGCCCCTACCGTCTCATTGTCCTCTTCATCCTTCTCCTCCTCTAAAAAGCGGATGGCGCTGACCCTGTGCACCGTGCGCTCATTCCAGGCCTCGTCTGAGTCGCCGCTCACCAGGTTCTCCAGCGCTCCACAGCGAGGCAGGTTCTCTGTGGGGACAAGCACCGTCAGCAGGCCCGCCGGCTGGCAGCCCTCTGCTACAGAGGGAGGGCCGGGAGGGCAGCGCCACCCACACGGAGCACAGTCCACTGGCTCGCCCCACCCCACCCCATCTTTGTTTTTTGTGTAAAAACATTGACATCAAAATCAAAGAGAAAAGGGCCTGCGCAGGTTCGTTCCCTTCTTCTTACTAATACATGTTGTCGTACTTGAGAGTGTGTACAATATCTCCCAGGTTAGTGTGTTTAATGGTTCCTAATAGATGTCAGCCACTGAAGGAACCCATGCTGGCGGCCCTGGGGCTGGCCTGGGTCTGCGCTGCACAGGCAGGCGCTCCGCCTCTCTCTGCAGTGCTTAGTTTTGAAGCGGGGTCTTGCCTGTGCCTCCCTAAGTCACTGGATGACCGGCACATCAGTTGTCCAGCCACCGTGTCTTCCCTGGGATTACAGCTGTGTGCTCATCCACAGGCCCAGATGGAGTATTGCCAGCTTTTATGCCCAAGCTGGCCTCAAGTCTTGATCCTCTAACCTCTGCCTTCTAAGTAATTAAGGTTCCACTTGCCTTCATAATCTTTTTTATTTTTTTTTTTGTCGGTTGTGGGGCTTGAACTCTGGGCCTGGGCGCTGTCCCTCAGCTCTTCAGCTCAAGGCGAGTGCTCTACCACTTGAGCTACAGCGCCACTTCCAGTTTTCTGGTGGTTTATTGGAGATAGGAGTCTCACGGTCTCTCCTGCCCGGGCTGGCTTTGAACCGCGATCCTCAGATCTCAGCCTCCTGAGTAGCTAGGATTACAGGCGTGAGCCACCAGCGCCCGGCCATAATCTTTTTTAACACACAATTACTTCAGAACTTTTCTGACTGGTTGTGGGTGCAGGTGGTAGATGCTGGTACCTTTCTTTTAGACTCTCAAAGGCTCACCTAACAGAGCTGAGTGGCAGGGTGACTGGGGACCTTCCTCTCCCCAAAGTGCCACAGTTTCCATCACCCTAGACCTCAGTGACAGATTTACAATAGCATTTTGTGGTGAGTGTGGATAACTTTTTAAAGTGCAGAACAAGGCTATAAGGACTCACGCCAACCCCCAGCTTACAGACAGTGTGTGGTGGGGCTGACCACTGACCCTCCACTTCTTGGTCTCGACTTTAAGGGACCGCTGCCCTTTCCAGGGTACTACATGCTCTGCCTTAACAGCCATTCATAGCTAGACAGCTGCTTACAGAATCTCAGACACAATAAAGAGGTTCTTGTTCTGTAAGGACTGGGCTATCTTCCCAGAGGTGCCCAAGCATGGCCTTCCCTGGGCTGGCTCGAGGGACCTTGCCTGTCTGGGTGGGGTGGGGGACACAAGGGAGCAGGAGGGGACTCCAGAACCCCAGCTGGCTCTTGTAGCCATGAGAACACTCACCCTGACAAGCAGGCTCAGAAGGCAGCTGCGGAAGCAAGACACAGGTCAGTATCTTCTCCCCTGTGCTGTGGTCGGTGTCTGTCTGAAACGTGAGCAGGGGCTGGGACTGGTTGTCAGACAGCCACAGAGCCTTCAGCTTCAAGGAGGTCAGCGATAAAGGCAGATGCAGCAACCTGACAGGAAACAGAGGGGACACCATCAGGAAATCAGCCCCCATCAGTAAGAACCAATGAGAACAGGGAGAAAACCAGCTCCAGACTGGGCTTCAAGGGCAAAAAGATGCTGTTTATAGTAAGATATGAGATTATTAGAGGACGTGATTTATGGTAAGAGATAAGCTCGGTAATGATATTGTTAGAAGATGTGATTTCTGGTATGAGATCTGCTCCTCCATAGACCATTCGGTAGGCACTGCCATAGCTTCTCTCTTTAGGACCTCAAGGCCGCAGCAAAAGTGTTCTCTAGGGAGATTCTTGGGACCCCCCCCACCTTAAATGATTATCTTCGGGCTTCTACCCATTCCCCGGCTCAGGCTCAGGTCAGTAATATCCACATCAGAAAGACCACCTGAGACCACGTTACAAATTGCAATATGACACCTACTATCACTTTTACATTTATGCTTACACAAAGAAAACCTTTCAAAGTCATCTACACTGGGTACTGGCAAATATTACTTCAGAGCATCTGGCCTCAGCCAGGACACATTTGGCAGAATCTGGGGGCATTTCTGGCCATCATGCCTGGGCAGGGGACAGAGAGCCTGGGCCTTCAGGAAGTCAGGTGGGAACAATGCCCAGTATCCTAAGGTGCACAGGCAGCCCCACACAGGAATGCAAGGGTCACACTGGTCTACAACCCTGAGACACTCCTAAGGTGGATGGAACTTAATGCTGTATTTGTTTCATCCAGTATTCCCATCTTGGGATGGCTCTGGGCTACCAGGTGAGGTACCAATCAGAGAAGTGACTTCATCAGACTTCAGTCAGCACACATGGGAATTCAACCATGTCAACAGACTAATATTGAATCAGCAGATATTCATATTAATACTGAATTATCAGATACTCCACAAGATGACAGAACTTGTGGAAATATACTTGAATTGTATGTACAAGCAAGAAAAGATGTATTCCAACATTATAAAACTCACCTAAGACCCAGGAAAAACTGGGTAAGTTACTTTTATTTTGTTTTTATCTTTATTGTAAAGGTGATGAACAGAGGGGTTACAGTTACACAAGTAAGGTAATGAGAACATTTTTTTTTAAACATTTACCCCTTCCCTCATTTTCTCCCACTTACCCCTCCCCACTCCTCCCACCAAGTTGTATAGCTCATTTCCAACATGGTGTCTTGTATTATTGTTGTATTAGTTCATCCTTTGTGCTTACTATTTCTGTGATTCCCTTTCCCTTCCATGAATCAGATAAACTTAAATACAAACAAAGGGGTACAGAAAACTAAAACAGAAAGAAAGAAATAGACATAACTGCATACAGGACATAATAAGAACCTCTTGTTTCCAATTCTTGGCATTCACGTTGGCATGCTTCACTATGGTCCTATGCACTTAGCAATTGGGTTATTGAGACCCTGTGTTGAAAATATCAGACATATTCTAGTTATGACAAATGAGGGAAACCATGCACCCTAGTTTTCTTTGAGCCTGGCTTGCTTCACTCGAGATAATTTTTTCCAGGTCTTTCCATTTCCTTACAAATGGGCAATGTCATTCTTTCTGATGGAAGCATATAACTCCATTGTGTATATATACCACATCTTCTTGACCCTTCTTCCACTCAGGGGCTTCTGGGTTGGCTCCACATCTTAGCTATGGTAAATAATGCTGCAATGAACACAGTTGTACTGGCAGCTTTAGTGTGGCCTTGTTTGTGATCATTTGAATAAATGCCCAGGAGTGGGATTGCTGGGTCAGAGGGGAGCTCTATGTTTAGTCTTTTGAGGAACCTCCATACTGCTTTAGTAAGTTACTTTAATAAATGAAATAATCATTGACATGCACAGAAAGTGTTCTGGCACTGTATCAGCAATGTTTTCACCATAACCAAATTCTCAATATACTAGGTACAGAGGTGAACAAATGCTCCTTTCCTGTGACAGCTGATGCAGCAAGATGGACCCACCCACACAGGCAAGCCAGGCCTGGGGCCTAGGGGTACAGTGCCTAATGAACCAGGCAGGTCCCCGGGAGCCCCACAGGCTCACATGCCCTCAGGAGGGCCCATGACCACACATAACCGCACCATGCACATGGAAAAGGGCGTGTGCCAGTCCCAGAAACCATACGGTGCAGTGGCAGCCCTTCCCCGCCTTGAGAACTGTGGGCACGAGGCGTCGGCCCAGCTCCTCCCTGGGCTCTGTCCTCACGCAGGATGCACAGCATAGTTATTTCTCCCCCACCCTAAACCTGTCTGACATGTTTTCAGATGCAAGCAAGTTTAAAAAAAAAAAAAAGCATTTGCCAAGGATTTTCTTTTCCTGAATACCCAACGAGGCGGGGTAGCACGCAGCATGTATATGCCTTTCTCTGACCCTGGAGGCGTGGCAGGAGGGCTTTGAATTTACCAACCCAGGAAAAGGGATCAAGATCTGTCCCCAAACCAAAATGTTAGTAGGGTTAGAATACAAGGGACATAGCTCAAGTGCAGAGTGTTTGTCTAGATGTGTGAAGCAGCAGGGTTACCCAGGACCATCAGAAAAAAAAAAAAAATCAACAAATCCATTACACATTGAGAAAGCTTCAAGTACCTCACAGTTTTCATTTTATAGAACATGAAGACCTTCCTGTTTGTTTGAAAGTGTTAACTGACACATTTGAGGATGTTTAAAGTTTCAAGTGCTAGGCAAGAAGCACAGAGTGAGACTCAGCACCGCCCTTAGTCCTGACAGCACAAGGAAAAGGCAGACCTGGAAACTGGCACAAAACACAGACAGACACAAACAAGGTCATGGCAACTGGGATTCAGAATAATGAATGGCTTCCGGGCTGCACGCTGAGCGAAGGAAGCGGCTCTGCGAGCGTCAGTAATAAATAAATAACAGCTTCTGTGGATGACAATCAGGATGGGAAAAGCTAGAATAAATTACCAGTCTCTGCAACAGCAGGTCCTGTAATCATATTTCAACTCAGATTGTACAATGTCTAACCCACAGGCTTCCCTTCAAATGAAGTGCTGGCATCAGTGTGCACGCTCCTGGACAAGAGTCCTTCTTAACCCTCTGCAGGCAGCAGGGTCACAAGGAAAGAGGACCCTGCCCCTGTCTGCCTACAGATTCCGTGGGCTGGACAGAACCTCCCAGAGCCTCAACTGGGGCCTCTTTCTCTTAGGTGACCCTGTCCAGCTGCAAGCCAAAAACGGGAAGGAGACAGAGCCTGCTTTCCAGAGAGGCTCATAATATGTCTCTCTTTATTCCAGTACCTAGTGTAGACACAGCAGCAGCCACCGCACCCATCTATACTCATCTGTTCTATTTAGGACCACGCTGCCCCAGACAGGAAAAGCCCGAGGCCACTGTCTATGCCCACAGCCCAAGGACGAGAGCGAAGAAGCAACTAAACCCCGCGCCTCTCCCTTCCGGGCCCATGGCCTTCCTTGCTTCAGAACTGCCACAGGAATTCCTTTCTCAATTAATAACTAAACGTGGCTGGCTCATTAATGTTATGATAACCCTATGGCTTAATACAACTCACAATTTAAAGTTGTTATCTGTTGTTACCCGTTATTGGAATATTTTAGCTTTAGCAAAGTTTTAAACAGTGTTCACAAGTATGTAACATTTCAAAGATAGTCACTGAAATAAGGCAAACGATACCACAAATCTCTAGCGTGAAAGTCACTGTGCTCACAGGTCTGCTGCCTCGAGGGGACTTGTGTCCAGTCTGGCAGACTAGCACACGGTATTGTTCCCGAGAACAAGAAGGCAGAAGGGAAAGTGTTTCCCAGCATTCACATCCCTGCTCGTGGCTCTCAGCACTACGGGTCCTCCCGGGTCTCATTTCCAGTTATGGACTCTACTGTTTTGTTGTCTTTTCAATTTTCACTTTTAATAAAAATTTTAGTTAATATTAGAACAAAATTCAATGTCCACTGCACTGGTTCTGCCATTTGGCGCTACTACTATTGCAAGGAGAGTTGCAAATGCCAGACTTTGTGCAGTGGGTGCACACTTCGGGGGAGCTGAGAATCGCCTCTCCCAGCCCTGCCTCTGTGCTGGGCTTCCAGGGGCTCACCAGCATCGGGCTCCACTCGAACTTACCCGCTCTGCTCTCCAACAAAGTTTCTGTACACTCCCTGCAGTTTCTCGCTTGGCAAGTGCTATTTTTATATGCCGGAGAGGAGACACAGAAACGTCTGCTCTGTTTCCTGAGATTTCCCAAGCGTGGCACTTCTGCAGGCTGTGGAAGGCGGGCTGGGTGACCCAGGCTTATTATTAGTTCCAGTGGCAATACTTCTAAACAGGTGGTGATTAAACACTTCAACAGGCCCTTGCCTGGGCCCGGCTGTGTTATACATGGGCGCACTTGGGTGACAGTGAGGTAACAACGTTTAATTAGATTTTTCCACTCCAACCCAAGCAGCGCAAGAATCTGCCACTTCTTTTTCTGAGAACAGGTGAAGAACAGTTTACAACCACCACCCCCCACCCCCTGCCCACCGTGACCTGGAAGGCTCAGGCAGCTCACTCCAGCAGACGGTCCCCACCCGGCCAGGTCAGCCCTGAGCACTGGCAGCCTCTCAGTGGTCCCAAGGATCTATCAGGAAAGCATTCTCTTTAGAAAGGTGAGCACTCTCTGTCAGACTCTTCAATAAACCACCAGAACACTGGAAGAGGAGCTGTGGCTCAAAGTGGTAAAGCGCTAGTCTTAAGGAAAAGAGCTCAGGGATAGCGCCCAGGCCTCAAGTTCAAGCCCCACAACTGACAAAAAAAAATCCTTCAGCCAAGTGTAATGGTAAATGCCTGCAGTCTTGGCTACTTGGCTCAGGTAGGTGGGGTGGCTTGACCCCAGGAATCTGAGATCTGCCAGGGCAACATAAATGAGACCCCATCTCAAAGCACAACAGAACAAAGCACCATGCACGAGTTGAACGGGACCACACTCACTCCAGCGGAGGGAAGCTAAGGCAGGCCCGTGCCTTTCCCTCAGGCCAGCTCCTCCCCTCCAGCTAGAAAGCATTTCCACACAAGTTTCCACTTGGACAAGGTTGACCCTCACCAGCCCCCCTCCTGGCTTAATTACTCAAGAACCTTCTAGAGCCTGGGGCTGTGATGTAAGCAGCAGGCTGTTCTGTCATGTGGAGCAAGGCAGAGAGCAGGCCGGGACACACACATTTGTTATGTCTCAAACGAAGCCCCCTGGGATGCACTTACCTGTTTCCCGCCACGTCTAAAACATGCAGTTCTGTGGCCTGCGACACCTCTGCGGGTATTCGAGTCAGTCTGTTGTCACGCATGGAGAACACAGTTAGGCTGCAACACCCGCCGATCTACAGTGGGAGAGAAAACACAGCTTTGGTCCCCACTGAGGGAACAGGGAAGAGGCAGACAGCCATTCTGTTTACCAAACAGCATAATAATGACAACATATACCACTTGATTTCACGTCTCACAGTCATACAAAATGCCAAACATACATTAACTTGAGAAGATACGCGAGGCCACTCAAGAATGTCATTCTGGAAGAGAAAGAGAAGCGGTGTTCCCCTGCTGTCACCCATCTACCTGCCGTGCTCCCCAAGCCACACAAGCCCAGACAGACCAAACCTGCCGGCGCGGGAGCTCAGCCATCAGAGACGGCTGACACTACACCCAGTTCGATTCCTGCACTTGGTTCTGGGCTCCAGCTGTAAAAAGGGAGGGGAGGGCTCTGCCTGGTACCATGCACCTTTCCATAGCTTTTGGTCAGTCACACAGCAACTCAGTATATGCACTTTCCCTCGATGAATGCAAAAGCAACAGTTTATTAGAAAACAAGAGTGAAGGTGTCAAATACATGTTAGTCTCCCCAGTCTAAGGCGTGTTAACCCACGTCAACACCATATCAACTTCTACTACCTTCTTTTAAAAAATAATTTAAAGGTAACTGAACTTTGTACATCTGGTCTTCAAAACAGAAGATGGAGAGAGTTCAATAATTCCCCCAAACACATCTGCTGGAACACATCTGTCAGGAAAGCCCAAGAAGCAAAAAGAAGAACAACTCGATCCCGGACACAGTGCGCACGACTCCACAGCACACAGTGTTCCTTCATCCTGACCAGGAAGGCTCCAGAGGCATCTAGGACCCTCTGATACACGGGTCAGGAGTGCTCTAGGCCGTGTGTATGGAGGAAGAGCAAGAGGCTCAAGTCCTCCGTGACATCTGCATGACTCTGGCCCTTTTCTAAAAACACACATGCTTCAACACGGACATGCGATACAATGAGAACCAGAATGCATACTCATGAAACTGCTCCAGACACAAACTTTTCATTTCATCCCTTAGAATATGAACAATTCAGAAATCACACAGCTACTGGATTGAAGCATCTAGTGGATGCAAAGGAAAGCACACAGTAAAAGCAGAGACTAGCACCTGTCCACAGTTACTGCTCCAGAGCTCCCCGGTATGCACAGGCCTAAGACGTCCTTTCTTCTCAGTGTTCACACGCCAGTCAAACTGGTTTACTCACTCTACTGCAAAATATGCCTTCTGCGGCTTTATCTCACCTTTCCTATTTCTGCCTTTTAAAATCGTGCTGGTCACCCAAATTAACCAACTGTCTGCTAATCCCTCTGTAAAGCCTTCCTAGAGCTGTCTGGTCTAGGTAATAAATTGCCATGTGATAAACTGGCCTATATAATAAATCGGTCTACATGATAGGCCTGTGTGATAAACTGCATTCTACATTTCCTTCCTTATTATGGTCCAACACTCTGAACGATAAAAAGTCTCTTCAAGAATCTTAAGAATCTTAAATACAACAGAGGCCCATCAGCTGCACTGGACATGGATGGAAGTGAACTAAGCAACTCAAGGGCAGCGATGGGAGGGAGGAATGAGAGGGAAGGAGGGAACAGCGGACACTAAGCAGAAGGAAAGAACTGTACATATCACCCAATGTGGAAGAAAAGTTGTAGTGTCAGTTTGTAGAGTTCATAAGCGTTTGAGACCATGGTAATGACAACGCTCCTTGTGAAGGTGAAACTGTGTTGGTGGCTTTGGCTAAGTAGCACTGTCCCACAGCACTGTGGAATCGCTTAATCTCAATAAAGGAAAAACCATCTTGAGAGCTTGTTTGGAGGTTCTAGCAGGGGAGCGCAGCTACTCGTATACCCTTGACCGAAGACCGGTCCTCCTCTATCGGGGATGGTCGTCCTCTTCGACTGAGTGCGCAGCTTCGGGAGGGACTCACATGGAGCGGTGAGGGAGGAAGGGGACACCCGCCTAGCCAGCCAGATCAGCCGAATCAACCCTGGCCATCAATGGGGTGACAGATGTCGCAGCCAGATCACCCTCACATCCAGGAAAAAACATCTTAAGAACCTTGATTGCATGTATTTGTGCATGTCTGTCCAGTCCAGCCAGGGTCCTGACCAGCATCTGCTGCCCACCCTGCCTACAGCCATGCGTGGCCAGATACCCGCCAAGTTCTCATTAGCTAACCGTATACACTCTGTTTATGTGCTTGCTCCAAAGTCCTGTCTGCCGACACAGCAATGAAGACAAGGTAGTTCTCCTTTAGGTTTCTCAAACGAGGAGCCCTAATACCAGCCTCAGTCAGACAGACGGTCCATGTCCTTGAGGAAGGAAATCACCAAAACCTCAACCTTCCTAAGGACTGCCAGCCAGAACTTTCTTGCAACTCAGCTTGTCATATCAAAGCTCACTGTTAGGAGGGATTGGAGAAGCTTCCTCACCCGCCCAGCAGAGGGGCCTGGGATGAGGATGCGGGGCGCCCCGCATGGACCTGCACGCGTCAGCACCCAGCGAAGATGCAGACTCCTCCATGAGGCTCCCCACCCCTGAGACCCCAAAGGACGCAAGGCGCCATCACAACCAGCCCGGGAGCCACAGGCTGAGCTGTACTGACTCCACTGTCCCCCGCTGTCCCCTGGGTGGTGCCCGGCTGCTATACTATGCGCACTGTATGGATATCCATTTTCAACTTGTGTTCTAGAATAGCAAACAAAAATTCAAGTGGGTCAGAAGGGGTTCTAAAAGTTCAAAACAAGTTAATATCCCTTAAATGCCTGGAGGGACAGTGTGCGTTCACGGGAGTGAGAGGGCTGTCTGCTGTGCTTAGGGTCCCCAGTCCTGCTCCTCCCTCTCGCGTCTCTGCTGCTGTGGGAAGCCACGCAGCTGCGGGCCCCTGGCTGTCAAAGCCAGTGGTGACCTCCTGACCTCTATTGTCCGTGTGTGGAGCATGCGCTGGGGATGGACAGGGGATGCCTTGTCACTCAGAGCACACGCTGTCCCAGGCAAATGCACAAACACATCTTCCTTCCAGCTCTGCCACATGAAGGATGGCACAAAATTCTGGCTTTTAAAAAAGTTAAGTCATCAGAAGCCTAACTGAAAAGGGGGAGCTCCCGTCAGCGTCTGAGGGCACTGGGCAGGCGGCCTTGAGACCCCCACAGACACGGGCTGGGGGCAGACTCCATCATCTGGGCTGTGGGGGTGGATTTGCTACTTTCACCAGACAGGCCAGAAGCAGATGGTACATCACCCCCCCCCCCCACACACACACACACACACAGCTGTGTGTGGACTGCAGACGCTCGCTCTCACAGCTGCCCAACAAACGCGGCAGAGAGCATCTGTCCAGGAGGCAAAGCCCCATCGGCGCCTAGGCACCCTGGGGACCCAGAATCCGGCTGGTGCGGGTGGGGCTCCGTTTCCCCCAGCTCACCTTCCAAACTGCCCTCCTGCTAGTGTGTTCCACTGTGGAAACTAGTGAGGGACTCCTACTAACTAGTGTCCTCCCACACCTTTTTGTTTTCTCTTCCAGGCTCACAGGGAGAATGTGAGGGCTCACCAGTGGCCTTCAGGGTAAAATGTCTTCAGCACTAGAAATTCTGGGAAGCAGAGTCTCTGTTGAAATAACTTATTACCGGTTATGTTGGAAGCTGATATTTTTAAACTTCCCTTAAACCACATAATAGCACCTTCCCAGAATGCAAGGGGCTGGACCTGGATTCTCTGAGAATGACAGAATGTACTGAAAAATCCTTGCGTGGCTGCTTGGGGTCTGTGCTAAATCCCAGCGATACACAGTGCCCACTGCCCGGGCAGGCCTGCAGACCACCACGGAGCCTGCGCCCTGGATGGCTCTGGGAGACAGACGTGACTCAGTGCTTGCGGGCCACACTAAACCTGGAGGAGACACTCGAGTCTGGTGACACAAAGACAAAGCCTGTCAGGCAAGAGTGATGCAGCCTTGTCCGCTTACATTCCACTGCGCCCAACAGCTGCCCTCCATGGCAGAGATGCACACTGCCTCTCAGCAGCCTCCTCCCTGTACTCGCAACACAAAATGCAAGATGCAAAACCTGGACAGAGTACAAGCTGAGCGTGCACTCTCCTGCAGGACTTCGCCAAGCCTGCGTCTCCACGGAAGATTGTTCTAATGTTCCCAGCATCACACACACTTGGGGCATCGTGTGGCCTTGGTATTTATGGAGTCACTGGCCACTGACATTCAGTAACAGCTGTGGTATTTTTTTTCTTCTTTTATTCTTTTTTCTGATTCTTATCAAGCAGCTTATGCTGGCTGAAAATTTTTTTTAAAAAAAACATGGAAAAAATAGGAAAGCATGATGAAAAGCAATTACTGAACTCCTAACAGACATAATCGGTATTAACGTTTTCAGGTACAACCATGCAGTGTTACCGTCCTGCATCTGCGATTATACACATATACACTCATGAAATGAGTACCAACGCCGTGACCTTCGACACAGACGCTACCAAGCACTTATTCTCATGTCATTACGTTTACCAATCACATTCGCATTTCCTTCTACAGATTATAACGGGTTATTTCACGAACCTCTGGGCTTGATGTAGCTAGTTGGTCCTGCCTCCTCTTTGCTGTGTGATTTGGGGCAGTTCTCGGTTTCACAATCGGATGGGTATCAGTAGTGATTTCCCCATACTCACAGAACAGTGGTGCAAATTAGGCAGGAACAGGCAGGAGAGCGCTGGCCCAGTGCCTGGCCACGTTCTCTGTGTCTGGACATGCTCTGAATGGAGCCTCGACCAGATGAGCTGCTCCTGCACAAAATGTGACAAGTGTTCTTGTGCACTGTTCTCTGTTCTTAGTGTACAACCCTGGACATTTTCCTACGAAAAGGGTGTGTTGTACGAGCTTTTAATAACATAACCATCCCCTCCACCACCACCCCCGCCCCCACCTGCCTTTCAGAGAGGCCCTAATGACTTGCAGTGTACATAGCATACACAACCTTGTACATTCACCAACATCTGATACTCTACTTAAAATCTTGGAAATTGATAGGTTCAAATGCTTGAATTGTTTGGTAAATGCCAGTGAGCTAGAGACAAGTTTCACATTAAGAGCTATTTCTACTTTTTTTCTTCTGTGTATCATATTTCTTTTCAGTGCTGTCTACCTCTCTATAGTGGGTGTATTCTTTCTCTGTGCTGTGAAGGGATTTCTAACAGAGATGACAAGAAATCTCCTCCATGTGAAAATGTAAATGTCTTCTTACTCCCTTGTTCTTATTTACTAGTAGATCACAAATCTATTTTTCAGGTTGTTACTCTTATGACTTATTTCCTCTTCCAAGTTTAGAAATGCTTTCTCTGTCTTGAAATATGAGGAAATACTATATATACATATATATATATATATATATATTATTCTAATATTCTTAGGCGTTGTCTTATCTCCATTTTGGAACATACTAGAAACAAATCACAACAATTTAAAAGTGTAATAAAAGGGCAGAAAGATCATTACCAAGTAAAGTCTATCACCGTTGATATATGTGAATATCTGAATAAGATTTAAAAGGAATTAATATCTACAGGTACCTTGGATTTTCTTTTTAAAAAGCCTTTATTTGCAAATTCTATCTTGTCTCTTCAGACAATTGTGAACAAGATTACTTTCATTTTGACTCAATGCAAAGAAAACGGACTCAATTTGGAGAACTCTATGTGTATTTATTATACATGAGATATATATACATAGATATATATATATATATGTATGTGTATATCACGTATCATATATTGTATGGTCTCCAGCCAGTGTCCCTGTCCCAGTCTGCTCTGGGTGGGGTGGCCAGTCAGTGCTCCCGCTCACCCCTTCCCATGGTCCCATGGGGCTCCCTCGCATCTTTTCACTTCCTGTCGTCCTGAGTCAATCACTGCCAATCTCTTCCCACCTCCAAAAATATGCGTGTCTAAGGAACTCTCTTTCTCAGAAACATATATTCTTAACAACAGAATGAGAAACAAAAGACATAAATAAGTGGCTTGAAAATGCAGAAGCATGCCCTGTGCAGCAAACAGAGTGAGTTCTGGCTTTTCCGTGTAAGCTAGAGTTGTGCCAACAAACTGCAATTCAGTGAGGATGGAAAAGTGCTCAGTAATGCCTTTCAGAACTCGGAGCAACTTAACAATGGCTTTACAGAAGAGTGTCCTTCTGTGAGGGAATACCCTAAAAAAAGTCTGGAAGACACACAACATAGAGTTCCAGGCCATGCAGTCATTAAACAGAAATCAGAGCTAATGCCAATCTTTTACAATGAAGAAGACACAAAGCAGTCAGCCAATTGGAACCTTCATGCAATGAAATACAAGTTAGAAATACAAGTGTGGTCTGAACAATACTTACAAGATAACAAATTTACCTGACTTTTCTAAATTTCCAAGCAGCTAACAATTAAGAAAACAAAAGACATTCATTGATTTGCAAATGTTTACTACAAATAACACCACAAAACACACACTGAATATATTACTGTGACCCAACAGTGCAAACATTTTCCCCTCAACCATTTGGGAAAAATAAACATGTTAATGTTGCTACAGACTAAGAAGCCATAAAACTGACAATATACAATGACATCAAGGTAAAAAAAATAAAAAGCAAAATATGCAAAGAACTATATAGCACATCAAACCAATGGCAATTGATACAATTTGGGTTCTGGGCATAAAGTGAATTGCTTGGCATTTTGATTTAGGTATCTTATCTTGCAACTTAACTGTCCCAAGAGAAAATAATAAACTTTTGAAAGAATCTAATCAGAAAAGTGCAGGAGTTGACCCAATAGAATCAGCTGTGCAGGCAGAGTTAGTGTGCATCTATGTATAGACACACACAGGTGTGTGCAAACAGGCACAAATGCACGTGTACACACACAGACCTGTCACATTGCTACATGGAGAGACACAACACAATGGTGCTGCTAGGCCACAGAAACACAATGTAAGGTCAGGAGCACTTGGCAGTTTAGCTGCTCAGCCAAGGATACCAGGGACAAGCACTCGAGCCAGTTCTGCTGGGCACCACATGTGACCCACAACAGAACTGGAAAAAGGAACTCAGCAGCATTCCTATTCCCAGAGCTGTGTAAGTGGGGGGGGGGGGGGGGGGAGAGGGGAAGGGGAGAAAGAGAAAGAGCAGGGCTGACGCTGTGTTAGAAAAGATCCCAAAAGATCCCACTGCTGAAAACCCACCCACTCTCTACTTCATCAGGAAGCAGGAGGAAAAGGTGCAGCCTTCATTCCCTGTCATTTCTAAAGCCACGAAGCAAGTTCTGAGTTCACAGGAAATGGGCAGAACGTGATAGCTAAAATGCAAAGAAGTTAGAAAGCTGTTGCAGGGTTTTACTTTTCACATCAGAACTGTCATAGTAAGCTGAAACAAACACAGCAGGTACTAGGTACAACCCTCCTATCAGACAACACATGACTTATTTCTTAAAAATGAAAAGAAGACCGGGTGCCAATGGCTCACGCCTATAATCCTAGCAACTCAGGAGACTGAGATCTAAGGGATCACAGTTCAAAGCCAACCTGGAGAGGTTAAGTCTGTGAGCCTCTTATCTCCAATTAACCATCAGAAAACCAGAAGTGTTACTATGTTCAAGTAGTAGAGCACTCACCTTGAGCTGAAGAGCTCAGGGATAGTGCTCAGGCCCCAAGTTCAAGCCCCATGACCCACAAAAAAAAAAAGAAAGAAAAAAAGAAAGAAAGAAAAAGAAAAAGAGGACTCGTGTTGGGGTGGTAAGTTTCATAATGAGTTTCATGACTGTCTCGAATGTGTACCCATGAAAGAATGCAAAAGGGGTCCAGAAAAGCTGGGGTAGGGGTGAAACCAGGAATGAACATGTAGCATGCGTTGAAAATACACCTAAGCTCCATTAACTAAAGGTAGTTTGATCGCTTCTTCCTGAAGCAAGCTCCTGCCCTTTCTCCAGCTCACAAGTCAACAGTGTGACTGAGGCTCAGCCCGAGTTACTGAGTTCTCTGTCCTGAGTGGCCAGGCCCAGCCCACTAGACTGGGGGTAGAAGCTCACTTCTGGAGCCTGGTTCATCTGCTGCTCGCTCTGTGAGCCAGGGCAGAGGCTGTAGCATCCGTGTGTGCACGAGGAGGAAATCCTCCCAACCACCCAGGGCCGGTGAGTCAGCTCACTGAAAGCACCTAGTGCAGGGCACGGCACTGAGCAAGAAGAAATAAATCTTTCACTTCTGCATTGTGTGTGTGTGTGTGTGTGTGTGTGTGTGTGTGTGTGTGTGTGTGTGTGTGTGTGTGTGTGTGTGTGTGTGTGTGTGTGTGTGCCAGCCATTCTACAAGTATCTAAGCCATCTACAAGTGCCTTTCAGTAAGAGGAACATTAGTGCTCAGAGTATCAGCTGAGTTTTGCTTTATTGTTTAGGGAATGGAACCAAAATGTTTTGGTGAACAGAATCGTTTTTGTTCCAGTTTGTCCGAGACAGACGAGTCATTCTTCGGAGCCAGGGCTCCTATTTAAGGACATATCAGGTTAAAAATGGGCCAACCTATAACCAATATACTCTTGCCTCCCCTCGGGAAAAGCTGGCCAGCTCCCCCAGAAAAGACTGGGCACTGTGGGCGGAAAGCCTGAAGGAGGGAAGGAAGCACGGCCGGCCAAGCCATTCACGATGAGATGGGGCCCAAGGGAAGCAGCGGGCTCACCTCCGGCTGCGCAGACAAAATTACCCTGACATCAATACTGGAAGGGCCAAAACAGAGAAATACAAAGAAAATAGTCCCAGACCAGAGATCAGGTCATACAGGAAATAGCTTCTTTAGGTGAGGACCCAGCAAAGAAGAAGTCTCACCAAAGCTCAGCTGATGGGGGAGAGGGAAGCTAAACTTAGTTTTAGGCTCTATTACTTGGAAGAGGGTAGAGTAAGGTCAAGGGGAGAGGGATAGACCAATGAAGAGAAGAGGGGGAGAAGAATGCAGCCAAGAATCCAATGCACACCCCAGAAAATGAAGACAGCAAGGGGAGGGACGAGAATGCTGAAAGGAGCAACACTGGTCAAGATGCATTGTGTTCACCAACTGCTCTGTTGAATGACAAAGGGAAGGAGGGAAGGGAGGGAGGGAGGGAGGAAGGAAGAAGGGAAGGAAGGAAGGAAGGAAATCATGCCTTGTCTGACCCTTTTCCAATCAAGCTCTTCTAGTTTCCAGTGGAAAGCAAGCCTCTTCACCAAGCCTTCTAGAACCTCCTTTGACCTACTGTGGGCTCCCTCCTCACAGTTAACAGCGCCATCACCTGTGACAAAATTCAAATGCTCATCTGATACATCTACACAGATACTTTCCACAATGGAAGGTGATTGTCTCTGTGCTCCTGCTGGAGTGCTGACAAGAAAACTAAACATCCTGGGAGCTGTAGCTTGCTGTGGCTCCAACCGGCCTTCCTCTCTACCGAGTCTCATCTCAGACAGGAAGGCGTGGAAATCTCTGCCCAGAAGCATAGCTCCATGGAGATTCACTGTTATAATCACAATGACTATGGGACCGGATTTAACTTCACACCAAATTCAACAATCAAACCCAAAGTCACCCACTACCCCTGCTTAAACTCCCAAATTATCCACTTATGCCAATGTATCTCCATTTTATGTCAAGCCTAAGTGTCAACCTATTTCTTCATTTAAAATTTAATCAATTCACTTTTTCAAACTCTTCTTCATACTATTGATGATCACTCTTGGATAAAAGTTTTTCCAAGCTGCTTTATAAGCATTCCTTTACAAAGTGCCACATATGACTTTAAACATTAAAAATATCACAAGCATGTTGATCCTTTAGCTGATGTTATCTCTTCTTCATAATTACTATCACATTAATACTCTAGCACATACCTCTTTTGGTAAAGACACTAATTTATTTCTGTCTGCATTCAAGTTGCTCAGCTTCTTAAGTTTTCCAATGCTTTTAGGTAAGGTCTGAAAAAAAATAGCATTTTTATTATTGATTGACCACGTATTTCTAACAGCTGAAAAAGTCCTTTTTGCATGGACTATCATGCAAAAGAAATAAAGACGTGTTCCTGAATATAAGATGCTCATAATCATCGCTTGGGGAAGAGTCAAATGAAATATGTTGAATTTTTGTTGATATATTTCAAAGAAATAAAATCAAAGACAAACAGAGCAACGCCTAGCAGAGAGGAGAGGAATGTTCTTCAGCACAACCAGTGTTGCCAGGGGGTGAGTATTACTGTTACAATTGTTATAATCACTATCTGGGGGACAGGAAGAGTTGGTAACTGGGATCACACCTGCAGAAGTTGGCATGCTGCTGAGAGCTTGGGGAAAGATGTGGCTGGGCTCCCCCAGCTCCAAGCCTCGCTCCAAGCCTCGCTCTTCCCTTGCAGTCTGTCTTTGCTCTTTTCATCGGAAGCCTGCTCTCCTGGCAGTGACAGGAAGCCCTGGCCAAGTGTGCAGCCCTGGGGATGCCCCGCCCCGCTCTGGGAGGGAATCAGCAGCAGTCTTGGCAAACATTTATCAGATGCCACTCTCTGGCTCTCCCATAAAGAGCACTCCTCAGCCCCAAGCTGCCAGGCTTGTCCTGACAATCCACCATGTCTCTGCTCTTCCTACCTGGTTCCAAGAGTCCCTGAACAATGTCCCTTGCGGGCTCTGTGACAGCGCCATCAACAGGTCAGTATGTGACTCTCAACCCCCCCACTCGGACCCAGAGGCATCGGTTCAGCGCCTGGACCCCAAGCCCTGCACTAGGAGCCCTCCCAGGACCCGGAGCCTAAATGCTGCTTTGTCGATCGCGGTGCCACCTGTGGCATTCCAGGCTCCCTTTGAGGTGAGACTTGAGGACATTTCCCCCTGGGTCCACTTGAGCTGTCAGTCATCAGGATCTGCCCTAACACATCTTCATGGTAATGTCAACCACACTCACCAGGAGACGATTTTCCGTAAGAACTAACTCGGTGAGACTTTCACAGTCCCCAACTGCTTCCGGCAACTGGGCAAGTCTGTTCTGATCCACCTTCAGAACTGACAGCTTCTTTAGTTTTCCTGCAGAAGCATTATTTAAATTCATGAGTTAAAACTGTTTTCCTGATCGCCACTTGGTATTTCCTATAGCTGTTCTTTTTTGTCTTAAACAGTTACTGACTTTTTTTCCTCTCAGCCAGCTTTTCATATTATGAAATTGCTGCACTCACTGAATCACTAGAGGTTGAGAGTTAGACTAATTTGTTCAGAACTTCAAAAACAGTAATTAGAAACAAATCATTTTAAATGCCATTACCTAAAAATATCCTATCGGAGCCAGAAAATTTAAAGAACACACAGCAGGCTTTTGATGCATCTTAAACATGAATCGTGGGCGCTGAAGGGACCTTCATTTTACCCCAGGAGTCAACCTAACTAAAATTAGTAAGGTGTAGATTATGTAAACTACCTATGAATGCCAATGGCTCCGGGAAGCATTGCTATATGCACAGAATAAAGCACACCCCTGAGAAGCCATGTTAAGGCAGAGCCAGCCTCATTCTCAGAGGGAAGATGCTCACAAGCTATGCATACAGGCTATGGGAAAAAAGAAAGAGTCTAACTACAGGCTCCACTGACAGAATTTCCCAAGTCATCCAGATTCTAGTTGCCAAGTCAAATGCCCTTCACAATGACCTTTACCTTCCTCATCAAACCAGAATACAACTGCTTTACAAGCAGAGGAGAAAGCCACTAGAAGGGCATGCTGAAAGGAATACCCTGCCAGTATGCACACACAGGGCAAGACCGGAAAACAGATTTTTTTTTTTTGGTCAGTCGTGGCACTGAACTTTGGCCCTGGGTGCTGTCCCTCAGCTCTTCAGCTCAAAGTGCCACTTCCAGCTTTTTCTGCTTATGTGGTGCTGAGGAATCGAACCCAGGGCCTCATGCATGCAAGGCAAGAACACTACCACTGAGCCACCTTCCCAGCCGGAAAACAGATTCTTAAGCTCCTTTATTTAGCATCATCAATATCCTGCTAATGCAGTCCCTGGGGAGGGAGGGTGTTGCACCTGCCCTCAGTGCCAGTGGACGGAGCATCCTCCAGTGCTTGTTAGGGTGCCATGGCGCCCAATAGAGGACCCTTAACTATATCTCCCACAAGAAGACGGTGGCCTCTCCCGGCTCCTAGCAATCGTGTACTGATTTCTTCTCCAAGTAATTTGTAACAAGAAACTTTGCTTGTTAACATTCTTAAGTGAAATGAGATTCATAAGCTTTCATTGCACCCATCTGAAGTAAAGATGCAGGAAAGATGCCTCTACAGCCAGCCCTCGGGGGCCTGGCCAGCCCACCACCTCAGGCTGCTACTGCTTCCCTTCCTGAGCAGCAAAACCTGGGTTTGGGTTTATACCATCACCAGATGCCGTGCACGAATCTCCTTAAACATTTCCACCCAGTCAAGACCCCCATCAGTTTTCTAGCCGGCTTTGACTAACACGCAGTGTCTATATTCCTATGAAAGTGCTATTAGCAGTTACCCTTTCCATCTTGACCGAACAGCAGGGATAAAGTGGTCCTGTCACATAGCTTCTCCAGTTACTTCTTCCTTTGATGATTTGCAGTAAAAATGTTAGAGAGCAACCCAATGACAACTAGTCTATGGCTACGCAGAGCTTCTTATAACTTCTAAGTGGCTTTGCTCTAGTGGAGCTACCAGCTCACTCCTGTTACACCCTCTCTGCGTTGCATTTCTCACACAGGGCTGTTCCTTTACAGTAAAGAAAACGCCTGGCTTGTAAGCCAAACAGTACAGTGGTTAAAAAATTCCCAATTTCCTAGAAAAGGCTCAACTCAATCACACCATCTCCCTTTGAGAGATCTTCCCTCTGCCACACAGTGAGGTCCAAGCTACTGTCTCATAACTGTTTAAGATGCTGAATTAGAAACGTCCTGGTGATTGTCTATATGCCTTAAAACTTATTCTATGATTTGGCTGAACTCTAGTGAAACCACTGAGATAAGACCTTGATAAAGTAAATAATGAGTCAACATTTGTGCTATCAAACCAAGATGACAGTAATACTTGCAAGTACTTAAATCTATTATATGCATGGCTTTCCTTCTTTAAACACAAGCAATGGAGCCACATTCCCAGCACCTGACAGGAGTCCACACAGCATCAGAGTGAGATCTTACTGCCCCAGATGATCTCACCAAGATGGCCTCATTACAAGATGATGTCATCAAGATGACCTCAACAGAAGATGACATCATCACAAGATAACATCATCAAGATGGCCTCATCACATAATGGGCTCACAAGATGACCTCACCCAGATGGCCTCAATACAAGATGACATCATCACGAGGTAACCTCATCACAAGATGAGTTCATCATCACAAGATCACATCATCAAGACGGCCTGAGGTGGGACCTTAGCAGCAGTGCTTTCAACACTCACCAATGCCATCTGGAATTATCTCCAGTAAATTCTGAGAAATTACTAAATCGGTTAAAGAAGTGAGGCCGCTGATTTCTTCAGGAAGTCTTTCCAACCTGTTCTCAGAGACATCTAAGCACAGCAGGTTCTTCAGGTTTCCTATTTCCTGTATCAAAGGCATAGAGAAACTCATGCTCAAACCTGTCACAGGACAGGAATTTGTTACAATGAGGTCCTGAAGTAGTGAGACTGTTTCTTTAGTGTATACTCAAATATGAAGGCAACACAGATTTCTGGACCCTCTTTCAATGAAAATGAGACGTTGTAGAAACCACAAACAGGGAGCTCTGCCTCCCACAGGTATGTAATCATTCTCACTTAACAGATGAAGATTAGGAGCCCAGAGAGTGGCGGGGAGATCCAGTCCAATTCTCTGTGTTTGGAGTTCATCACTAGTGAGCAGTCTGCACTGGGAGGCAAGCAGCTAACACGGCAGGCCCTGAGATTTTTCTCTGCTAAGAAACTCTACTTTCTCCTTCCTTCCATCACAAGTAGTGCCTGTTAACCTAGGCACCAAACCCCTGCTCCTCCACAAAATGAGCACACACAGACCTGTGGACAGCTTCACCATCTGCAAGACAGAAAAGCTCGCCACTTTAATGAAACAGCCCATCCAGGACTGGCAAACTCCCTCTGTTTAACTTACCTTTCCTCCACTCCCCAAATACACGTTTTCCGCCATCCCTACTTCCTTCAATTCCTACTCTCCTTACCCTCTGACCACTCCCAGCGCTGCACTGGACACACGGACTAGCTTGAGGATGGTGTGTTGTGCTTTCCAATTTCTCTGGGGAAGCATATAATTACATAAGTTCTATGTGCTTTTTCAATCACAGATTGAAGCTTCTGAGATGCTTCTCTAAATACCGCTGGTGGATGTTTTGTGGGCAACATCGAGAAACTCAGTTACCTGAGGTAAATCTGACAGCTGGTTCCCATCCAGCCAGAGGTCCTTCAGATGGAAGAGAGCTCCGATTGATTCTGGCTAAAACAAAAAGCAGTAATGTCATGGTAGCAAAGATCCAAGTCTGAGGCTTCCACTAACAAAGAAGGAATTATAAAGTGTCAAATAATAATTGGGGTAATCCTAGCTACTCCTGAGACAGGAATCAGGAAGATTACGGCTCAAGGCAAGCATGGGGAACAAAAATTGAGACCCAATCTCAGTAAGAAGCCAGTGTGATGGCTTACAGCCAACTGCACAGTCCTAGCTATGCAAAGCCCATGGGCAGAAGTGCAGCCAAGGTCAACCCTGGGCAAAACACAAAACTAAAGAAAAAGAGGGCTGGGACACGGCTCCCATGGTAGAGCCTACCTAACAAGCACGAGGCTCAGAGTTCAAGCCCAGAATGCTGACATTAATCATGAGAGCTGGGGCCTCTGGTGGGCAGCTGTTGTTTTTCTCTAATACCAACCTATCCTTAAACACACCAATCATTTCCACTCATGCCTCAAAACTTTAGTCCTGACCCTCCTACACCCAGTCTCAGTTCATACCAGTGTGAACCGAGCATCCTCTCCAAGGTTCCCAGGTCTGTGGAGACACAACTCCACACACACTCCTCCTCAACATGCCTGTGATGACACACACTTACCAAGTTATAGATCTCATTATTTCCTAGATCAAGCTCTTCTAGTCGCCGCAGCTGGGTAAGGGAGCTGTTTAAAAGAAACAACAACATTTAGTGAAAACACAGACATACAGAGCAACACAAGTTCCTTACTTGGACTGTTACTCCAAAATAGCGCCCATCTAGACTTCACAATGGTAAGAGCATGACAAGGGGGCAGCCGCTCTCAAGGTGGGTGGCAACAGACAAGATTTTTTTTTTTCTTTACCATAATGCCATAGTCCTTTCAAAAATAGTTAAATTCATTACTATTCCCCAGAAACTCACTCGGGAAGATAGGTAAGAAGATTCTCTCTCAGTTCCAGTGAAGCCAGGTTGTAAAGACTAGAAACAGAAAGAGAGGAATGTCAGGGAAATCCCCAGATTCGTCCTTCTGCTCCCCCACCACACATAATCAGTAAGAAACACAGCTCAGCCACACCCCACGTGACTTCCCAGGGCAACAATGTGTCATCACCACCCGGCCCCCACTAAACCCACAAGTCTAACCCGAAGATACGAATAAGATGAATTAATGACACAGGTCATGCCCACAAAGCACCCCACTTGAGGCCTTGGCCCGCCTGACGTGGAAATAGCTCACTAGCCACTAAAGACAGCCTCTCCTCAGACCAAGACCAAAGGCCAGCCTCCCAGCCTCAGCGGCTGACGCAGACAGCACGGCCTTCCGCCCGGAGGGCTGAGGCCACCGACCAGGCCCACTCCACAGAGCAGTAGGCGTCAGGCTCGTGGGAGCTGACACGAGGGGCGGTGACGGTGAACACTGACCTCACCCAGCCCAGGATCTGCTGTCCTATCCTCACCTCACCCCGGCAGCAGATTCCTGCCCTCGTGCGTAGCCCAGTATTGGGGCTGAGCGCAGAGAGACAGATGTTCTCTCCAGACCCCGAGTATGTGGGTCAGCTCTGATGGGCAGAGGCCACGCGGCAGCCGCGGAAGCCCTCACGCACCAGCATGTCAGCACAGCACCGCACACAGGTTCCGAAAACAAGTGACACGTCTGTCACCTCTGAAGACCTCGGCTCCACACCAACCTCAAGCTCCTGCTTGCTAATATAGTGCAGAAACAGTCAGGGTTCTACTTCTGAGCTGGTAGGAGGCAGATATTACCCCAATACTCTAATCCACCTTAATCCTCCACCCTCCCTCGTTTTATCAAAAAAGCCAGAAACACTAAAAAGCTGATTTTCTAACACCACTGAGTGGTTTGGTTGTCAGCGCAGCTTGCCCGGGTGAATACTGAACCACCGGGCAGGCCCTCCCTCCCCACCCAGCTCTCCAGACAGCGCGACTGACAGTGGATGCCACGCGGGACCAGACGTTGGTGCGGAAGGAAATGTCTCCTTTTGCGGTCTTCCAAAATACAGCAGTGGGGCGGTGTCTGTGCTCGCCGAGACTCTCTCCTCAACCCAACATCGTTGGGCCTCTTCAAGGGTCTCAGGACAGGATACTAGGAAGTGCTGCTGGAGTGCAGGAGGGGATGTCAAAGCTCACAGCTTTCCTCACAGGCCAAGAGCGATGAGGAGCCCGGGCTCGACATGCATGTACCCTTCACCTCAGCTACTGCCAGCACTGCAGAGACTGAGAGCACACCTAACACCCCACAAAATGCCGTTAATATCAGACACAAAATGTAGCGTGTCAATTATTCGTCTTTAATAGTCCTGCTTCTAACATGACATCATCAACTTTCTAGACAACAGAATTTTTATAACTGCTTTGTCAGAACTGACTGTGGATAAGGAAAGGAAGGAGCAGACAGGGCGCTGGAGCAAGACCTCAGCATTCACCAAGACGCCTGCAGTTTCCCCACTGCGGCCGCTTCCTCTCACTCTGGAGAAGGGAAGTCAGATGTATAGACTGGCCACACACACACACACACACACACACACACACACACACACACACACACACACACACACACACACACACACACACACACACACACACCAGCTTCTCCGCTCTCCTCAATTAACAGCCGTCTGTCTCACCTCTTAAGCCACACACCTCCGTATTTTGAACAGTTGCACAGCACATCATTGACTATGTATTGACCTTATCGCGGCAGGCAGAATGCAGGCCGCCTGTTTTTAGGAACCCTCTGTTCCAAATGTCCTACTGGACGCTCTGCCCTGGAAAGGCGTGTCTGTGGTACGGGTTTCAAACTCAGAACCTCCCACACGCTGAGCTGCCCCTACTGCTGAGCTATGGAAAACCCACAACTAGAAAACAAAACAAACTCTTTGTTTTTGTTCTCTGAAACAATAAACAGGTTCTAGTAATTGCAGGCTCAAGAACTAAGCACTTCACGGGACAGCAGTGTGCGAAAGGAATTCCCTCTTAGGCCGCAATCCAGGACAGGACAGGACGGGGTGGGCAGCAGGCGGGCCTCGTGAGAAGGCCATGGGGCTCATCTGTTCCAGCCCATGGAGGCTGAGAACACCATTCCCAAGGGCACAGACACAGACTAAGACCCACACACCCCAGCTCACCAGAGCCCCTCAGGAGCTCACATGTCCTACCTCTACCAGCAAAGCTCCACCAGTAATGAGTTACTGATAACCACTCAGTGCCCGAGGCTGCTCTGAGCACTGGGCTAATTCACCCTCCACTCCCTCTCTCCTCCAAGCATGTTAGGTGTGGAGGAGGAAACTTCATTAAGCAAGAAATAAAGACATTTAGACTAACTTCTAGTGTATGGTACCAATTTCTTTAACAACAAAGAGTAGGAACTTTCATGAAGAGAGTTACACAGACAAGGACAAAGTTCCCGGAAGGACCCCAGGCCTCCCCGAGCCTCCGGGTGATCCTCCGCTCCCCTGGAGATTTGTCCCACCCCAACCTTCACACCCAGAGCACCGAAAACACTGGAAACACTCTGGCTACGTGCTGACCTGCCTGTCTGCCCTGTGAAAGTATGCCTATGACCTTGACAGTACTCACAAGGTCACACAACAGTGTTTCTTATGAAACAAAAAACATGGACAAGTTAGATTTCATTAAAATATAAGCCTCTGTGCATGAGAGGACACTATCAGGAAAGTGAGGGGAGCCGGTGAGGCAGCTCGGGCCTGCAATCCTGGCTCCTGGAGTGGGAATGGGGCAAGGGATCACAGTTTGAGAGATGGAGTCTTGAGAACTCTGGCTGGCTGGCCTGGATTGTGAATCCCCCGCCCCCTGGTCCACCTCTACCTCTTCCCCTCCTGAGAGTTATAATCCTAAGTCTTAGCAAATCTACTGGCGTAAAGTAAAAACGTCAGTGCACTTCACATAAAAACATGGGCTTGCCAGTGGAAACGGGGTCACGGGAAAGAAAGGAGGGGGAAAGGTGCTGGTTTAAAACTCTTGTGGACCTTTCAGAACAGACATGTCAGGTGACTGGGTTCAGTCATGCAAGGCGGTTCTCAAAGAGCAGATTTCTGGTTTGTCTTAGGACTTCAGCAAGACACACGCAACAGCAGGGAAACCTCTCAGATGCCAGGAGCACTGTACCAGGTAAGGCCGCTGGGCTGGGTGCTGATCTAAGTGCTTCTGCCTGAGCCTTGCTTGACTAGCCCCGCTCCCTCCCTGCTGGCGAAGGGGAGGCGTCTGCTAAGAGGCTCCATCTGTGTGGTGGTGGAGCGCTCCACTGGCCTGAGCCTTGCGTGACTAGCCCCGCTCCCTCCCTGCTGGCGAAGGGGAGGCGTCTGCTAAGAGGGCTCCATCTGTGTGGTGGTGGAGCGCTCCACTGGCTTCCTCACTCGCACGTGCCTCCCCTTCCTTTCTTCCCCTTATCTTTCTCACCATGGCTACATCCCCCTGCCCTGCAAGCTAGCACCACAGAAATTCACCCACCTGCTCCACCCCACCCCATCCACCCCTCTCGCGGCTCATCTGTGCTCTCCAAACACTGGCCACTTGTGTCCTCAGGAGCTACTGTCAGACCGAACAGATGTTTAGCACACTTCCTGTGCGTTTTCCGTGGGGACCTCCTTGCTCTTCTGCTCAGGATTAAAATGACTGAGTGATCATTCCCAACAGTGTTTGCTACTAGAAAGTAAACTGGCTGCTTTGCTTCAGTTTGCTACTTCTTCAGAATTCATCAATGTGAAGAAAGCTTGCAAACAAATTACGTTTATTACTAGTACCATGTAGCAGCATACTATATAACCATTAAAACCTGGGGATAACTAAAGGTAACACTGATGGATGGACAGATGGTCTCCTACGTCGATGGTAAGAACATAAAAGGAAAGTTCCACATGGAACTGATGGTACGCATGTACTGGACATAAAAAAATAAAATAAAACTTACTTGCCGATATTTTCAGGCAGAGACTGCAGGGAGATGTCATTTACAGAAAGACACGTTAAGTTCTGTAACTCAGGAAAGCTTTCTGGCAACCTAGAACAAAAGAGCTTGTTAACTGAAGTAGCAGTGTATACAGAACACAAAAACAATTCTAATGTGCTCGCTGAAATAACACCCTAAAATTGCGCCCTGTGATGACATACTTGCCTTGCCCTTTTACATTATCCACACTCTCAAGGAAGGGGCCGAAGGGTCCACCTCGCTACTGGAGAAACAGCACATGATACACAGAGGGCAGTGCAGAATTAATCATCAGGAGGATAAACACACAAGTTCTCAGAATGAAGCACAAGTGTCACAAAGCCCTAGGAAGGAAAACCCCCCACTGCTGTGTAGCGGAAGTTTCAAGCACCATGAAAAGGAAGAGAAAAACCTGACCAGTCCCTGGGATTATGAAACACAGGACAGCTGCTCACTCCTCTTTTCCTGTTGCTTCTAAGGATTACTTAGAACAGATCTGCGACAGCCAACTGCTACTTTGTTCCTTTTATTCAAGTTGTCACTCCCTATATATAATTGAACATTTCATGACATTCTACACAAAGGTACTTTTAATATGTGCCTGAAGCCAAAAAGAACAGTAAGGCTTCAAAGTAACGTTACTTAATGTTTACAAAGAAATGTTTCCTATGGTTACCAGGATTTGTGAGAAGAGAGGAATGGTGGCTGAAGGTGAAAAGATGCCACTGCATCTACAATGGGATGTAGTTTAGACCCACAAATCTAGTACAGTCAACAAGGAAAGACCTCTGGCTTTGATGGGGAGTCCCGAGAAACCCTGGAAATGTACCCACTGGACCAGAGAGGCCACGGCTCCCAGGGCTGTGCCTGCGTTCACACATGGGCATCATTCACTTATCCTGACAACACAGCCTTCAGAAGACTCCAGACGAGGCTAGGAGGCCTATGGAGGCTCCTGAGTGCTGCCAGCCAGGCCAGACGGCAGGCTATGAAACCCCAGAAGCAGCAAAATCCCCCCAACCATCGCAAAAGTAAGGAAACAGTGGTGCTGGCAAGGTTTTGTTTTCCTAAGGAGAGTTAGAGAGAAGTTGAGATTAAAAATACATTTCATTATTGGAGTGAAAAAAATAAGTCTAATAAGACTTCTCTTCAGATAATTATGCTGTAAGCTTTCTGTGGGTTTAGAGCTCAGCTCTGACCCGACAGACAAGAAGGCTCAACTGGAGGTTTATAAACTACACTATTCATACTGCTCCTCCCACCCTCCCAACACCTCTTTTCAGAGTTTCAATCAATACAAATAGTGTGACTCTCATTGTCCAGTATTTATAAATACATAGCTGGGAAAGTCAGCCATTCTTGATAAAGCCAGTGGTCTAGCGGGGTGCCTCCGAGTGACAAACAGGGCTGGAAAAAGAGACCCGTCTAGCTAGAAACAGGAGGGTGAAGTAGCCGCAGCACCTTGTCAGTGGGTTTCCGCTGAAGTCCGCAACCTGCAGGGCTTTACAGAATGAGATGCTTTCGGGAATTTCAGGAATATCTGAAAGAGTAAAGGAAATATACACCACTGTTAACATCCTTATTATTTATGACAGACCACAGTCACAATCCCCTGTGCCACCAATTATGAGAACACTTGTTCTTGCTTTCCTAAGGGAAGACACATCTTTACAGAAGAACATTCAAGATATACATCATAAGGCACGACCACCACTGTCTGAAATGCCACTGGCCATACTTAGATCTCACTTCCACTGAACTCTCTTCACACTTTTTTTAGTTTTTTCCTTATGCTTTTTTCTTTTTTCTTTTTTTTTGGGGGGGGGGTCCACTCGTGGGGCCTGAACTCTGGGCCTGGGCACTGTCCCTCAGCTCTTCAGCTCAAGGCTAGCGCTCTACCACTTGAGCCACAGCACCACTTCTGGCTTTTTCCTTATGTGGTGCTGAGGAATCGAACCCAGGGCCTCAGGCATGCAAGGCAAGTGCTCTACCACTGAGCCACCTTCCCAGCCCCTTCCTTATGCTTTTTGATGGCTGGTAAGTACAAGCATTCTAAAGAAGAGTATTGTTAAGCTGTGAGTTTTCTTCTGATTTTAAACCTAAGAATTTGTAAAGTATAAAAAGGCTAAAGAAGAAAATAGAAATCACCAGACTACCCAGATAATGTGTTATTTTGAAGTATTTTTAATATACACACACTGTATATGTACATATAGACGATATGTTTCAAAATACTAGGTTCCTGACATTTTTTCAATGTATAGTTATTCCACAAACTTTTTACCCATCTTTTTTCTAAATAGTTTGTCATCTTAATGGCAAAAGAGTACCTTGCGTGGATTCTCAGACTTGATTTATTTAATCCCCTATTGAACACTTAGATTGATTCCAAGTTCTTAATGTTATATTTACGCCAATTTCTGGTTGTTTCCTTGAACTAAGTTCCCAGAAGTGGAATTACATGGGGCACGTTAGCATCGCGGGGGCGCTTTGGTAAGAGGAGGCAGGCAGGTTGTACCTACTATACCTCCATTGGCCCAAACAAAGGGCCACAGCCGACATCTCTCCTCTTCTTCTCTTCTTTTTCATTTTTAAAAGTGTCGATCTGTTGCTAAACGACTTCAGCTACCTTTTGTTTCACATTCCTTTATTACTAATAATGGAGAATGTATTTTCTGGATATTACTGGCCATATTTGTGATTTTAAATTAGTTAAGACTGTGAGTGTGAATGCCTCTTTCCCTTGGCACAAAGTCAAAGATGATAGCTGTGGGGTCTTAAAAGGTTACTTCACAGCGTCTAACTTCCAGCGCACTGTATTTTGGATGTATCAGCACAAAGACAGTTCTTCTCGTTTCCTTTATTCCTCCAGTTTGGCAAACATCATATGAGCCAAAGTACACTCAGTGTTCATAACGGGAGGGCTCCCGGGAGAAGGGAGAAGGGAGAGGGGAAATAGACACCTGCTCTAGCAGCCGCAAAGCAGCCGATGCTACATGAAAACGTGGAGTTTAAAACCTAAAATACTTGAATGTGTGGTAACCTTTTTCTCATACAAGTCTCTTCTTTGCACAGCTATCTTTATCACATGATGTTCTAATGGATGGAGAAACAGATGGACAGATACCATGGGTTCTATAGTTGAGTCCATCATGGGTTTTTGAAAACCCACTAACACGGTGGGCCCTACGGTTCACTCACAGCTGTGGCTTCTTTTGTCCACGTTGCCTTACTCATTCCACTCAAAAACATCATCCCAGATCACCCTGAGTTTTAGGGACAAGTACTGACTGGCCCATCCCCCCAGGCCTGACTCCCCGTGTTGGCTCTCCACATGGAACACGGCACCCAGCAGGCCTGACTCCCGGGGTCGGCTCTCCATGTGGAACACAGTACCCCCCAGGCCCGACTCCCGTGTCAGCTCTCCACGTGGAACAAGGCACCTTTCCAGATCCCACTCTGTGTCGACTCTCCACACGGAACACGGCACTGCCACTCACAACTAGACAACCACAGCAGGAGACTCAAACTTGACCTCTAAATTTAGAGGCAAATGACCTCACGTAAGACCTAGAACTTGAAAATTATTCCATTTTAATTACATTTGGGTTTCCATGCACGGAAGAAGCTGGCTGGCTTCTCCGGTTGGCACCTGTCCCCAGCGCCTTCTCTTACACCATTTACACCATTCCATGCTATCGACAGGCAACGCAAAACACAAGACAGAGCCCACCTTCTCGCCACCCACGCCTGTCGCCTCAGGCCACAGACGGCTCTGACTTTCACACTGAGCAGCTTCCGACGGCTGGATGTGTGCTCTGGTGTGGCCAGCCAGTGCTGGCAGGCACTCAAGCTCCAGGGGCTGCACCCAGGGCACAGGTGTGCACACTCACTGCCTTCAACCACACCCGGGGCACAGGTGTGCACACTCACTGCCTTCAGCCACACCCGGCGCACAGGTGTGCACACTGCCTTCAGCTACACCCGGGACACAGGTGTGCACACTCACTGCCTTCAAGCACACCCGGGGCACAGCTGTACTCACTGCCTTCAGCCACACCTGGGGCACAGGTGTGCACACTCACTGCCTTCAACCACACCCGGGGCACAGGTGTGCACACTCATTCACTGCCTTCAACCACACCCACGGTACAGGTGTGCACACTCACTGCCTTCAGCCACACCCGGGGCACAGGTTTGCACACTCACTGCCTTCAACCACACCCGGGGCACAGGTGTACTCATTGCCTTCAGCTACACCCGGGGCACAGGTGTACTCACTGCCTTCAGCCACACCCGGGGCCCAGGTGCGCACACTCACTGCCTTCAGCTACACCCGGGGCACAGGTTTGCACACTCACTGCCTTCAGCCACACCCGGGGAACAGGTGTACTCACTGCCTTCAGCCACACCCGGGGCACAGGTGTACACACTCACTGCCTTCAGCTACACCCGGGGCACAGGTGTACTCACTGCCTTCAGCCACACCCGGGGCCCAGGTGCGCACACTCACTGCCTTCAGCTACACCCAGAGCACAGGTTTGCACACTCACTGCCTTCAGCCACACCCGGGGCACAGGTGTACTCACTGCCTTCAGCCACACCCGGGGCACAGGTGTGCACACTCACTGCCTTCAGCTACACCCGGGGCACAGGTTTGCACACTCACTGCCTTCAACCACACCTGGGGCACAGGTGTGCACACTCATTCACTGCCTTCAACCACACCGGGGGCACAGGTGTGCACACTCACTGCCTTCAGCTACACCCGGGGCACAGGTGTACACACTCACTGCCTTCAGCTACACCCGGGGCACAGGTGTACACACTCACTGCCTTCAGCCACACCCGGGGCACAGGTGTGCACACTCACTGCCTTCAACCACACCCGGGGCGCAGGTATACACACTCACTGCCTTCAGCCACACCCGGGGCACAGGTGTGCACACTCATTCACTGCCTTCAACCACACCCGGGGCACAGGTATGCACACTCATTCACTGCCTTCAACCACACCGGGGGCACAGGTTTGCACACTCACTGTCTTCAGCCACACCCGGAGCACAGGTGTGCACTCATTCACTGCCTTCAACCACACCCACGGTACAGGTGTGCACACATTCACTGCCTTCAGCCACACCTGGGGCACAGGTGTGCACACTCATTCACTGCCTTCAACCACACCGGGGGGCACAGGTTTGCACACTCACTGCCTTCAGCCACACCCGGGGCGCAGGTGTGCACACTCACTGCTTTCAACCACACCTGGGGCACAGGTGTGCACACTCATTCACTGCCTTCAACCACACCCACGGTACAGGTGTGCACACTCACTGCCTTCAGCTACACCTGGGGCACAGGTGTGCACACTCATTCACTGCCTTCAACCACACCTGGGGCACAGGTTTGCACACTCACTGCCTTCAGCCACACCCGGGGCACAGGTATGCACACTCACTGTCTTCAACCACACCCACGGTACAGGTGTGCACTGTCTTCAGCCACACCCAGAGCACAGGTGTGCACTCATTCACTGCCTTCAACCACACCCACGGTACGGGTGTGCACACTCACTGCCTTCAGCCACACCCAGGGCACAGGTGTGCACACTCACTGCCTTCAGCCACACCCGGGGCACAGGTGTGCACACTCACTGCCTTCAGCCACACCCGGGGCACAGGTGTGCACACTCACTGCCTTCAACCACACCTAGGGCACAGGTACAGGGTGCAGTCACTGCCTCCAGCTACAGCGACATTGCAGAGTTTTAGCCTGACACTTTAGATGAGCATTAGCCATGCCTGCCAGCTGCCTATTTTGGTCCAGAGGAGGTCCCATGGGAATTAGTCACCTGTCATTCAAGTGGTAAGGTAGAGGAGCTGGGGGATTTGCAGAGACAGACTAGTCAGGTAAAGTAACAGGTTTATCTGAGGGACACAAAGACAAAACAAAAACCAAAACACTCTTTGCTCTAAGCCCACCTGACTACTGACCGCCATGTAGGAAGGGCTGCCACACCCCAGGGCCTGTTAGCATCAGGTTTGTGTCTTAGCGCACCGTCTCCAATCCCTGCAACAAATCCTGACAAATGCGGAGCGGGCTGAAATCGTCAGACTGTCGGCGCTCACCCTGCTGACAGTGGACGCACAGAGCTCGGCAGCCATCCTGCAGAAAGGATGGCAGAGCACCTGCAGATCATCTCCAGGTGGGCTGTGGAACCACACGGACCAGAGGAGAGTAGAGACTGAAGAGGGAAAACCCCAGGCAGTTTTCTTACTCTGGGCCAGGGCTGGATGAAGCCAGGGGGCAGGGGAAGAACCCTACCAGTACAAAGGGGGCGAGGCACAGACTTTCGTGGAGACCCAGAGCAGGTGGAAGGGAAGAAAACTACAGGAGCAGTCAAAGAAATCTAGAGAGTGGAGCATCACCTGGAGTGTGGACAGATGCAGAGATCCAACAGGCAGGGAGGACGTGGGCTGGGTGTCCTCTCTAAGGAGGCAAGCAGGGTGGCTGGGGGAGGGAGGGCTTAGAAGCAACAGA